GACCGGGGCCCGATCATCGTTTCTTCGCCCGGCTATATAAATGGCAACACGATCGACGTTGACGGTAATGCCGGTTGTGAATCATTGGCTGCGAACCTCTTGCGCAAACGAAAAGAAGAAGAAGAAGAAGAAAAAGAAGAAGGAGAAGAGGGAAAAAAAGGAATATGAGAAAGAACGAAATTTAAATACCGCGGCCGGTTTTACGAGCGGCTCGTTAACGAAACGTCCGATTCACGTATGGTCGAACCACTTTTTCCCGAAACGTCGCATCCGATGCAACCTTCGTAACCTTCGATATTTAAGGAATCGTCGAAACGAGGTATGCATCCATAAACGGAGCGAAAGAGAAGAGTAAAATTCATTGCGCGTATTATCTTCGAGGGCTGTACCGATGCTAACGAGGGTGTGTTAGGGGGACGAGCCTGGAGGGACGTCGATCAGCCGGAAAGAGAATCGGGAAGGAGGATGGAGAAAGAGAGAGAGAGAGAGATAGGGAGAGGTAAGAAAATAAAGAAATCCTTGTAATCCTGAAAAGCTAAGCCGACAAGAAGGAGGATGATCCTGACGGCGTTACACGAGGAAGGCTCCTTTCGAATCTGAGAACAAACAGCGCGAAGTCAAGCCGAACCACTCGAGCGAGTCGAGCACACGGTACATAAAGGACCAACAATGCTGGACGATGCACAGCTGGCTTGTAAAACATAGAGATCCTGCGAAGATACAAGAATACCCTTGGCTACCGCATACCTCGGGGGTGGTCTCGTGTTTTTCACCAAACAGGGATTTCCATGAACACCGGTCACACAGATTCTCCATCTAATTGCACATAATTACATATTAAATTAGTTAGACGTCCCAATTCAGATCTTTGTTTCCAGGCGAGAAGATTAAAAACGAGTTTCTATCTCGATTGAAAAAGATCGATGATATTCGATGAATGATACTCGTTAAAACCAGAGATTATCTTCTTCGCAGGTATTCTACGAATCTATTATGCGAAAAGAAATCTGAGGACGAATGGTGCATCGTCATCGAGATCGTTCTTGCGGAAAAGAGATCTTTACCTATTCCGGGTGACGAAGTCGTCTCGTAGAGTATCGGAAAATCCGAAAACTCAGTAGGGTTGCGCTTAATCCGTAGAAGCAACAAACAATCGTTTCGAGGATATAAGGATACGCGGGTAGGAAAACTGTCCGTAAAGCTTGGAAGAAAACTGGGGATGATCGGTTACTTGGCTCGAAAGGGCTTTTCACGGCTTGCAGAGCTCCAACTAATCCAAACTGAGTATAATAATGAAATTGGTCGTGCCGATCGTCGAATCGAGATGGAACTGTGTACAGTGCCGGACACTAATCTCTTTAGCTTTGTCAAAATTCTTTAAATTCTTTTTGTTAGAAACAAAGGGAAAAGAGGAAGAAGAAAAGGAGGAAAAGAAAAACTTAACAACGGTATTTATACAACTTATTAATTGCGAAGAAAGTATCGTGCAAATAAATACTCTACGAAGAAACGAATGTTTAATTATCTTTTATATCTTTTTATATCCTTTTATATCCTTCGTTAGATACATCCTATGTTCCCCTCTCAACCTTTCTCCACCATTTATATTTTCGTTTACGAGAAACTCGCCGATAAATATAATCGTTAACGAATAATCCCCCCTCTAACGAATTAACATTAACGCGTTTGATGCTGCACGATTTAAACGCGCATTACATCCCGAACAATTTAATCGGGAACGTTAAGTGGCCGCGTCGAGTTCGCTTAATGCCTCACGCAATGAAATGTCGTGGGGCTTTTCTTTAACCGGGCTCGCTCGCTGATGAAAGGTACATCATCGAGCGACGAGTAACAAGGCTAGCTGGTTTTTGTATTGGCCCCGGCTGCTGACCGCGTGTTCGTGAAAGCTATTCACCGATGGTAATGACGAGGCGATGAAAAATTGCATAAACCTCTCGTAAATCACGTTTTATTTCGTCCAAAGGCATCCAGACATCGAGGAGATTTTTTTAAGCGGACAGCCACTTGCCTTGCTTTGCTTTGCGCAAGATGAAAATTTTCTCGGAAAGGGTTTCGATATATAGGCGATATATCGTTCGAGAACAAACGGGGGAGGAAAGGGAAAACTCGTTCGAGGGCAAACACCTGTCATCGGGAAAGGAAAACGGGGCGAGAATGTCGAGAAGAGAGGAAAAAAAAAAGAAAGAAAGAAAGAAAGAAAGAGGAGAAAGAAAGGAGAAAGGTTTCAGAAGGCAGTTTCGTGTCTCTTCTGGACCTGATGCCATCCTAGAAATCCCCATCCCCAGGACTATAATTTGGTCCTTAGAGGTGCCACGCCCACGCGTATACATCACCCTGCTATCGAGATCTCCCGCCACCGATAAAACTTGTCACTTTGTCGGTGTATGTATATATATACGTATATATATACATGCGTCAGGAAGCGCGGAACAGCGGAGATGAGAAGTAGGATAAGAATTCTGACCAGGAAAGTAGGAGGATCCTTGGACGAAACGGAATCTGAATCGATCCCTTCTTAACATCAAATTATTTTCAACCGGGGGATCAAATCCTCAGCCTATTTCCATTATAACGGAATATTTAAATTAAAAATCAAACACTGGACCTCGTGTAAATAAATCGTAATTGATAAGTAATATATATTTTTAAGAATTGTCTCATCCGTATATCCTCTCATCGATATCAAATCTTTCGCTATCGAGGATTCAGTCTTTTATCGAAGCGCACGAACACAGGCACACACCCTGCCCTTCTTGACACGCGTTACATTCGGCAACCTGTCAAAAGATGTATCTGGGTGTGAAACCCAGTGCGTGCACACGTATAACGTACACCGAGCCACCGCATAATATACCAGGTGACCCTCTTCAAAGCGAACCACGCCTAGTTAGCCACCATTGTACGTGGGGAGGCTTTATGAACTGGAAACGAACGATCGCGTCCGTGACAACTTGATCGTTATGTGCCAAGGGTTGGATCCCGGATTCCATCGTTTTTCGAGGAAAAAAACTTTTTCCTGGAGACACGCGCGTCTCGCCACTTTTATTTATAAGCAGTGAAAGGGGGCACGGGATATATGGGAACGCGGTCGCGCGCCACCCATACGAGAAAAATCCTGGTAAACACGCGTAATCCACGGAGCCGTGCTTAGAGGCACAATTCTTAATCCCGATTCCACGGAATCCTGCGTCTACAGCCATAAATTCAAACGATCGCGTGAATGGTGGACCGTGAATATACGAGAAATCGAGTATTTTGTTCGATCGAGTCGGTGGCTCGTTGCGAATCCAATTTATCACTATCAGAAGAATTTAGTTAGCCTGGCTTCAATAACGTTCGTTTAACCCTGCCACGTCATTTGTGTCGTATCTTCGAAACCGATTCGCTTCTTAATACTGTTCTAATATTTTTCATAAAATAAGAGGGGAAAGTTCCAAGTTTTCTTCTTTTATTCTTCTTTCTTTTCTTTTCTTTCCTTTTTTTTCTCTTCTCTAATGTCGACTCTCATCCTTATCGGGAGATTAAAATCAATACGCAAGAACGAAATAAATCATCGAAAGATCGTACTCCCGTTGGATTAATATCTAATAACGGTTACCCACCAAGTTGAGGATAGTTTCAATCTCCATAAAATCTAATATAACGATATTCTATCCGATTATACGCGCGATGTAATCCCGCGTGTCAAGCGGCGTGATTAAGTGCGGAATATTCGGCGTTGACCCGCCGCGCGATTTTAATTCATACTCCAGTGCCACGTGCTTCCCTGAATTCCCCTCCCCGTTTCAAAGTCAACGCGATATATACCGTGTCAACGATCACCATCCCCGTTTCTTTTTATTGTTGAATTCTGACGCTTTATCCCTCCACCTCCTCGTCCTAAACAAATAGAATCAGGAACCGCGAGTAAATATATGTAAAGCCACGCTTGCTGACCGTTTAAACGCGAAACACCATTTGGATGACACGTGCACGTTGGATGAATGACGATATCGAAAGCAAATATTTGAAAAGTGAAACGTTCAATCGGGAAAGATCCGTGAATTTTTGAATTTTTATTGCCAATTCTATTTTATTTATACACGCCACTAAATTGTTAAAAAATAATTTTTGGAGATATAATTTCGTTATTCTCGCGCGTGAAAACTTAATGGAACGTTAAATCATCGTTTCGTACTTATAATTCGAGTTGTTAGCACGTGCTACTGATCCCCAACGTCATCGCGGTGAGTTAATATCGAAAGTATGACCGAGGGTGAACCATAAATGAAGAACAGGGTGGAACACTCGCGTATCATTGAAACGCGGTTCGGTTTTTTTAATTAAATAACGAATGATCGATTACTCTACCCTTATAAAAATATACAATTCTTATTTGTTCTTATTCAGAAGAAAAGAAAAAAAACCAAAAGAAAAATTATTTAAAGTTACAATCGAGGGCGCAGAAAATTCTTTAATTGCTGTCGCGATTAAAAATTATCTTTCTTCTTTTCGATTTTCCATCCTCTTTCCGCCAGAAAAAGATGGTAAACAACATCGTTAATTCTCCAGAATCTGTTATCTCGCGCAATTGCTCGTTTCACGCGAGCTCGTCCCACGCGTGCTCGGATAAAAACCGACGAGATAATTTTCCTTTTCTTTTTCCTTCGCGGACACATGATCGTGAAAATATGCTGCGCGTAGTTTTTCCACGGTGATGAATGATAAAGGGAACGAGGAGTTTTCGTGTCCGGGCAATAATGTGATCGCGTCGGGGGCGGGGCACCGTGAAAGTATCCGCAGGGCACCCCGCCCATTAAACACGAACCTGTCGTGGAAAAAAGGTAACGAATCCCGTGGAATCCTCTTTCTTTTCACGTAAATCTTCCACGTGGATGGAAGAATCCTTTGGAGCAACATAAATTCGTGGTTGGTTTACTTTTATCTAATTATTCCCTCGTAACTCAACGCTTAACGAGCTGTATCCCTTTAAAAAAAAAAAAAAAAAAATAAATAAATCCAATTCAATCGACTTCGTTTTCTTCATACGCGCGACTCGTCCTTTATTATTCGACCATTATTTTTCCTGATTACTGGACAAATTCGTATAAAGTGGTATCGTTTGTAAAACGTCAAATAACGAACTCTTTGTTGCAGAAACGATTTACATTCTCGATACTCGAGACCGTGGATCACTGACCCGAATAAAAATCGTTTATTTCCTTGACACCGACCATTTATTAAAGTTTGCAAAGAGATTTCGAAAACATTCACTTCCATTCCCTTTGTAAACTCATCTTACACTATCTAAATCTAAATCTTTACTTCGAAATTGAAAATTTTACAATACACAACGAATAAAATCACCGGAGGAAACGAAAGAGGAGGTATATCATCGGTCAAATTCACTAACAACGCGATCTATTCGAGGCGGAAACGATACGTAGTCTGAAACAAATATCGCGTAATTAATCACGGACGCGTACGATGCACGGCAGCATTCTTAAATAATCCAGGAGCGGATTGGTCGAGGGAGGATCGAAGATCGGTCGGGATCAGATGCAAATTAGATTCATTAGCGTTAAGCCGGAGGGATGGGGATGGAAAACGGAGTCTCTGCGTGGAGACCCTTCGACGTAAACATCGCGTCAACCTCTGCCCCAGCTTCCCAAGGGTTGTTATTGCGCGGTTACGCCGACCCCCCCGGCGTGACATTCGTCTTCTTTGTGAATACGTTCATCCACACATCCTCTTGAAATTCTTCACGTTTTATCAAACGATGATGAATACCGAATATTGTATATAATTGAATTTTAATTAAATTTAAACTGAGATTCTAACTATGGAGACATTTTAATATAGATTTCGTTGGATTATTTAACTAACTTCTATCTAATTTTTCTATTCTAAAGTTAGAAATGATATTTCATCGAATTTAATATGCGGAAAAAATTATTATTAGGAATGAACATCAAGCTTGAAAAATGATCGAAACCGATTATTACTGCGAGGAGAATACAAACATCACACTGTGTGGGGATCGTGTTGGACAGTTTGCCTGGGGAAGCGATCACGAGGTTATACTCTCGGGATTACAGAGATTACCAAGAGACTGTATCACTTTCGATCATTTTATGTTGATGCGTAAATGTGTTTCACACCAAGTTAATCACTCCGTCTTTAGTTGATCGTTATCGCAATCGTATCAATCATCCGAATGATTAATAAAAAAAATCCAATTTCTGATTTATAAAATGTTGTACATCTAAGAAATATTACTACGTCTTAACAAAAAATATTTAACAAAATATACCTCCTCTAAAATAATAAAAATTTAAAAATTCAATTTATACGTAACTTGTTAATTTAAAAAAAAATCTACTAAAATAAATCATTTCCCCAAGAATAACAAAAAATTCAAAAAACAAAATAGAAAAAGAAAGAGTCAATAAAGACTTCACCAAAATGTAAAAAGAAGATGAATAATTTGCAATTTCCTTTCCGGCAATAGAATAAGCGAACAGAGTGACGGAGTGGCCAACTTTTTTCCCCCCTAACGAACGATCGCGTCAATTATGCGAAAACCGGAGTAATGAAAGCGCGGCTCCGTGGAAACCAGTCGAAAACAAACTCTGAAAGGATCTTGGCAACCCCTAATCAAGTCCCGTTTAATAAAACGCCCGGCCCCTGGTATTCCCACCCCGCGAACCGCCCTCGGTAGCCTCGGTGTCGTCCCTTCGTGGCTAATCTGACTTTGATTAAAGTTTTAGCGACACCTAAAAGCGTGCCGCCCGATAGAAGCCGACTGGTATACACACGGAGAAAGGTGGCTAGAAGACCGACCGACCGCTCGTGTAAGTCGATTTTTATTACGTTCCGGCGCATACATTACGAAGCATCGGTAGAGACACGTGGTAATGGGCTTATCGACGCCATGGGATTACGATAATAAAGCTACAAAGATGCGAAAACGCGCGACATATCGTTCCGTTCGCGTCTTGGACACGGTGTGGACTATGAATCGACAATACGGATCGAAAAATTTTTTGGAAATGCGAAAATGTATCAGCTAAGCTTTAATTACAGTTTTTGCCTAATATGATATGACGTTGGCACGATGAATATTTGTATTATACGTAGTTGTAAGTAGAAAGTTTGAAAGAAAAATTTTTAGATAAATTTATAGCATGGAATACCGTTAACATTGATTTATGTTGTTATTTTATGTTCCTGAATTGTATGTAGTATGTTTACATGTATATTGATTGCGATGACTAATGGTATAATGACTAATGTGTTTATAGTATTTCGAGTCTTCTGTACATTAGATTATATTGATATTTTTTTATTTACTACTACGTAATAATGTAATATATATGAATTTCGTATGAGAGAATAGAAGTACGTTATAAAGTATGAATCTATTAAAAAAGTGTATTATTATAATAACGTACCAGAAGACTTGAAATATAAATTTATGCTACTACGCAATAAAATATGTACGAAATTCATACTCACATTGACGAGGATATGATTACTTTTTTGGTTATCTTTTCCTTACTGGCCTTTGTTGTTCGTGTGACTGCAAATTCGCAACGCATATTCATTAATCACTTTAGATGTACACTAATTATTATCACTAAATTTATATTTTTCACGAACGAAAATAACTAACGCAATACTACACTACAATATCTAAAAAAATTATTCACAATATACAAAAAAAAATAATGATTTCGCGCGTTTAATAATCACTTCGAGGCACGCAACGGCCATTTTCTTGTACATTGTACAAGTAGTAACCTCTAACGGCGAAATTTTAAACTAAAGGTTTTTGTTAGCATCAACCGACATTTTATATATTAAAATTTGTCATATTTAAACAAATATAAAACATATAAAACATCGAATTAAAAATTCTAAAATTAGATTCGAAATAAT